AAGAAAAAAACTACAAATGCACCATTTCCCCCTGGTAGTTGCAGTGTAACATTCTCTAAAAACTGTTCAATATGATTTTGAAAATGTACATCTTCAGTAGGAACCAATGGGCTTGGAGCTGAGTGAGTAAGTGAGTGGACCAACACATTATTAGTTTTGCTCTTTTTCAGGGGATTATATAGACCACCATTCTTTAACATGTTTTTGTAAATTAGTCTAAAGGTTGTATCAATCCATTGATACTGTTTGGACACTGAGGAAGAGCCAGTTTGGTGCACAACATGATCAAGAAGAACAATTTACAATCAAATTTATGTCATCTTCTTAGTCCCATGTGAACCACAGGTTTCATTAAGTTTATACAGCCAAACACAAAACGCTAATCACCCCTGCACAGTTTATTGATCTTCCCTTGCATCTACCACAGTCTGGCGGTTTAAAAGGGCATAAAATCTACTATTTTGTTACCAAACAACTGCAGTGTAATTCCACAACTGCAGCTTTCTTTCTTGTAGTCAAAGTGGAGATGTAAGTTTTAACAGGAAGACTCACTTCTGTGCACCAGCTTTCAATCACTGAACAGCTAATTAGTCCACAGCTTGAACTGCACACCTCCTGCTGTTTACAGCCCCTTTTCATTAAAGGGCTCTTCATCATGTCAACAAACAAAGTTTAAGGAGACATGGCCTGAATGTGCTGAAGTAATGGCTCAAAGGTGTAACATTAAAAAAATCATTAAAATGTGATACATGTTCAATATAACCAAAACTAGGAGCTGAAAGAAATCTCAAATCAACCACAACAAAGTGTCTGGCTTTACTTCAGTTCGCAGCGTCCTTGCCAAAGTACTCCAGGATTTGACCTTTCTGAAATAATATATGCAAGCAAAACACTATAATCAGAAATTCATAGCGATTCAGAACAAAGATGTCCTTTACAGTTCATAAAGCGACTGCATGAAACAGTGGCAACAATGCCCTTTCAACAGACGGTCGCCCTCTTCACATCGTTTAGTTGTTACTTAGTCATGCATGAATGTGACTATTGTTCCCTTGAAAGAATACAGCTATACAGAATACAGCTATACTGTACTGTAGGTTATTCATAGGATTGAGAAACAGTTTTGATCACAACCAGCGAGTACACAGCCTGAAGCAGAAGAAAGAAATTGTTGGCACCTCAGAGCCCGCAGAGGGAGAAAATACCGACATCACATAAAGCTGTGTCAGCACAAACTAAATGACTGACCCCAATGGTTTAAAAAAAATAAAATAAAAATTGGCGTGGCTCTTGGCCTGCTACCAGTAGTAAGGGATGTGTTTAGCAATTTTTTTAGCTAATTTGGCTCACAAAGTATTAATCGTTCATAAATGTTTATGCAACTGCATCTTGAAATAGAGGCAGAGGAGAAGAAGAAATGCTGCTTGGCTGCACTGAGAGTAAAAAAAGGTAATAGAGGTAATAGTATGCTGCAGGGATGACGTCTTTTTGTAGGCCAGCCCAGAAGTTTAAAAAAATAACAGAAAACTCTGCACAAACTGTTATGTTTTATTATAACAACATAAGTGAAGCAGAGAATTATATTTCTCGATTGCACAAATCCTTCATCAGAACAATTTGATTTAACTATTGCACTTGGAACAAGAAACACCTGCAAGCACCTCCAACATTGCCAAAAGACAATGAACACAGTTCTGCACAAAATATGACAGTATAAGTTATCTTAGAGAACCACAAGGACATATTATACAATTCAGAAAAACAAAAATGTGCATGAACTATAGGCCTTTATTTATCATATTATAAATGAAGTGTGCGTTATTTGGAAGAAAGTCGAGGTGTGACTGACTTACGGTGGATCCCCTGTTCCCCCCCTTGTCCGTTCCATTAGGGAGACCCATGGGTGAACTGTCTCCCGCCCCCCTTCCCCTTCTCACACAGCTTCTGTGCACGGCACCTCCTCAGCAAGCAGGGGTGCTTGCAGCTGTAGGGGGCGCCAATTTGCCAATTCCCCACACAGTGATATGATAGAACAGATAGATAATAGAAAACTGCGTCGCGGCGCTGAGCATTTGTTTTTTTAAGTGCTCGTGCCGCCCCACATGTGTGTGTGCCCGCTTCGCCCGTGCCCAAAACCGCTACTGACAAAAAGCCAGTGGGATTTAACATTAGATTTTGGGTTATTGCAGAAAATAAATTCTGTGGTACACAAAAGCTTTGTTCAGCAAGATAAACTTCACAAATATGCACAGATGGGATTTTAGAAGCATAAATGCAATTACAGTTAGGCTCCCATGGTCACATGACTTTGTAATCACCACTAAGATTAAGAGTGCGACGTGATGACGTTTAATGTCTGCCTTTTTTTAAAGACATGTACAAGCATTATCATTAGAGCAAAATACAGACCTTTTTCACGCATCTAACCAAAAACCTGTATTAAAAAACTCACTGACCCATTAACAGATTTTAGGATTCATGGATTCAAGAAGAGAGGGAAAAGAGCTGAAAGTGCAGAGATAACCCTGCCAGCTCCTGCAGTTCATTGCTACTATCCCAATCGCACTATTTGCTGCATTACGTGGTGATTACTTGCTGTCAGTCATTTCTTTGAACACATTGAAATGTTACATCACCCTCAGCTCAGAATAAAACCTCTGCTTGTCCCTCTTGCGAGTGGAAGTTTTTAATAATCGGTACAAAGCTTTAGACACGTAGGATCAAGGACTACTACTGCTCATGGTGTGTTTGTTTGCACTGATGGAACAAAAGTCCTAGAAGTGAGTTAGCAGGATGGTGGTGCACCTGCAGATTTTGAAAGTGAGTTTTTTTTTAAATAGGGTCCACTGCAGAGAAAGAAAAGCTAGTGTAACCCCATAATAGAAGTAGCAGCTGCTAGTAGGAGAAAAAAGAAACTAAGGGAAGCAGACTTTTAAATACCTACAACCACTCCCATCCCTCAAGTGCGGCAAGTTGCCTTGATGATCCGTGCAACTCCCACAAAGAGGAACAACAGGTGAAATAAATAGGGTAGGGCCACACCAATAACAGTACGTTGAGACTTTAGTCCAGAGTCAACTATTTAAAAAACTATTGGACAGATGGCATTACAATTTAATAAAATCATTCACCATCAATAGATAATAAATCCAATAAAAGCTGGAATTGAAATTATTTATAAAATACAATAAATCTCACATGTGGTTACTGTGTCATGAATTTCTGCCTCCTCCAGGTCTGGTTCTTTTAATTGAACTTTTTCCTCTGCTCTACCTGCCTGTCACTGCAACAGTTTCTCTGAGAAAATGAATGGAAGTTGGCAACTCTGCCTGGCTTGCCACGTTTAGTGTTAACTGTGCTAACAACAGCAAAGTTCTCTCTCCATCTTTCATCCATCCAACACTTCTGATTCCTCCTAATGAGCGTTACAGGATCAAAGGGCTGCGGCCGTGGCTACAGACTTTTTAGCCCTGCTTAGGAATTAATTCACATTTTAATGTTGTGTCGAAACTATTATTGTAGTTATAGCAATCATCAAATCACTGAAAATGATTTTTACTCAAGATATCCATCAGTTTATGGCTTATGGCACTATCTGAGCTGGTGGGGTTTGATGGGTATTGGAGCCTGATGTTGCTTAGAGAGAACCAGCTAAAATGTATGTGTGAACAATAAAATAAAAAAACTAATTTTGACTTTTGGAACCTATACAACACCTCATCATAGTAATTTCAAACCATGGTTGCACTATGAAAATCATACACTTCTCTGTTAAACCCAATAACCTGAATCAACTGTCCTCCCTCCATGACATGACATGTCGCCACCTAAATCCTAACAAAACTGAAATTCTTTCAATTGGACCAGGCAATTCTGTTGATCTGTTTATTGGACCACTATGCACAAATATCAAATCTTCCGCTAAGAATCTTGGTATCATCTTTGACGATTATATGACTTTTGACCATCATTTTACAAAACTTGTGCAGGCCTGTTTTCTTTAGCTACAAAATATTTCAAAAATCTGATGCTTTTGTCTTCCAGAAATCTCAAATTATTAATTCACACCTTAGTTTTCTTTTGCCTTTGCTGTTTTAACAATACTGTGGCATCATCTTCTCCAATCACTCAGATTTTCTGAATCTTTGGAAGGTTTTAAGCGGCTTTTAAGATGTCCTTTCCTGTGTTTGTTTACTTAGTTTTGTTGTCCGTCTTTTTAATTTATTCATTTCCTCTTGTTTTATTTATCCATGTGGCAGTATTTATATGTTTGTATATGATTGTGTATGTATAAATTTTTATGTGAATATGCGTATATACATGTGTGTATGTATGTGTGTGTTTATATTTATTTGTTGGATTGTGAAGCACTTTGTATTTACACAGTGATATAAAAATAAAACCTTTATTTACTTACCTAAAAATAGTTTCCTAGGCTCTTGTTTTAAAAAAAGTTAAAATAAAAATAATAATTAATAATTAAAAATAGATAATAAAAGAAATAATTTCCATTGTTTGCAGATGGAGGTTCTCTGTTAACGTTTTTAGCGGCGTCTCTTTGGTCTATTGGGATTCTTTGTTTAAGTACCACAGACTGGGACAAATTGGAAGCAATGCTGCTCTGTGAACCATATCCAGCTCTCTAAATAGATGCATGTTTCAAACAAAAAAAAATGCAGTAGAATTGGAACATAACGTCTGTGGTTGGAGCTGATTTCACTGCTATCCAGGACCACGATGCAACCTTTGCCCCCAGTGTTTATTTTCATCGTGAAGTGACAAAATCACATCTGGCTCTGCAGATTAGTGCCAGTTACTCAGTAATTGCTTATCTCTGGCTTTCAAAAATGAAATGGGCCCATATATCAAAGTTTTTTAAATACTGCCAACAGTACGAGCAAGCTGTTGTATGTGTATATGTATAACAAAATTTTCCTCTTGATCCTGCAAATGTAAGATTATGAAACTTGCAAACACTTTGTCACTGTGCCAGGTGGGTGTAATCTTTTTAAAATATGTTTATTGATACAGTTTAGATTGCAACTCAGTTCATAAATACAAACTGTATACAGAAAGTAAAATAAATTTGAGAGTTTACTGACATAATCCATTGCATTATTACGATGCGTTCTATATCCATTTGTTTGCATAGAATGTGTGGGGATCCCCTTTACGTACATCATGGTACAAACAGATAAAAACTATAACATCCTGTAAGTCTGACAAATAAAATTCTCAGTCTCACAAATCTCAAGCAAACACTGAATTTTTCCACACTTTTAAAATCTGTAACCAGTGACGGTATCAAGGATCCGCAACTGGTACCTTTATGTTTATTAAGCAGAAGAATTTAGTACAAAAACAAATCCTCCTTTGAAATAGTGGGCTTGTATTTACACTTGTTTGGTGTTGGACAAATATGACATGATATGATATCAGAAGCAACATATTTCAGAGTCCTTGTTCTGCTTTTTGTGCTCCACTGAAATGACACCAAAGGTCACATGACACATATCTGTGAAGCCAAAAGAAAAGGCAAGATTACCACACCTGGATCAAACAACACACTGCAAATATATTGGTTAGCATTTGTTTTAGCCAACATGGAGTACAGTAAGTGCATGAATTATGCTAAAAAAAATTTTTACAGCCTGGTGTGCACATTCATGTGACCACCTGATACACCTGGCAGGTAAAAACACTTTATTCAGAATAATCTACTGTATAAATACCATTGATCCAGTACCCACTATAGGCAAAAGTGAGCAAAAACACGCACACACACAACAGCTCAAAGACAAAATATATTTCTTTAAAGGTTTTACACTCACTGCAAATGAAACAGAAATAAAGGTATTACAAATACATGGCACTCAACATCCTGTGATAAATTTCAACAACCAGCACAGGTAAAAGCAAATCAAATCAGTGAATAAAACTTAAACGACAACGAGGGAAGAACATTTCCATCCACCAGACGAAAAGCTGAAATTCACATCACTTGCATTGTTTTATTGACCAAATCATTGTTTTAGAGACTGCAGGACAATGGCTGCTTTCCTGCAAAAAAGAAATGCATTTGTTTTCATTGTTAGCGAAAACTAAACCAAATGGTTGCTTGCAACATACGAAAAACAAAACAATTCTGGAAGCCTGTTCCTGTTTGGCATGGAAAAAACATGCAACAGTTGAGCTGATACAAGCAGAGCCACCACCATTAAACAGCTAACTTATAGTAGTGTTGAGATTAATGAAATATTTAAACCAGCTTCAAACAACACAGGTGATATTCATGTTTAACCACAGGCAAAATCCCTTCTCTGTGGGAACTTCCTCAACAAAAAGCACAGAAACCAGCACTGATGATGCAACAACAAGCCACATTCCTATAAATGTGTGTTTAACATCCTCCACATTTACAGTTCAAGTTAAGCTTTTTGCATTACACAGACTTCACTCCTCTTCATGCAGCCCTTTAGGTAACATTTAAAGAAAAAAGATAAACCCCTTTTCTTACCCTCCTTTCAACTGAGGCATGACACAGAAAAGACCAGTCAATAACTCACTCTCAGCTTTATGGGCATCTTATTCCAATAATCCTAAAGAAAAGTCTTTGTATGAAGAAGCAGAAGAAGAAGCTATTTTCTCAAAAGTCAAATGGCACAAAGTCACACGAAATCTTTGTCTGCCTTTCTGTGAAAAAGACACTCGACCTTGAAACGTCCTCAGTTCGCCATCAGTTGTTGGTGAAAGGACAAAGATAGAGCTGTTGCATGAGACAAACTAGTCAAAACCCTCACAGCTGAGGGTCAAGTTGGGCATATCAAATGTATGATTGATGGGGAAGCTGCTAATCCTGCTAACTTTCATCCTTTGACAGTTATTGTAATGATAAAGAAATGGAAGGGAAAGGCTTTTCACAAAGAGCATTCAAACTTGACTTGTCCCCAGTCCAACTCTGATACAGATATCAGTTGTTTTCTGCAAATTTGATACATGACAAATGCTTTAATGACACACTAAGATGTATATTTTTTCCAGCGTATCTGTAGCTTGAGGTTAGTCGACGCTGAGTGAAGATTGGCTAATGAGCCAATCCGCTGAAGCCCATTTTCCAGGCCTCCAGCAGCTCAGAAACACAGATCAAACACTCTCTGTCTGCAGCCTGGCCTCACCATCGTAAGCCGAAGAAAGCGAGGAGCGTGGCTTAATCTGGGGTGGCACCAGTTCACTCGGCTGATAACATGGCAAACAAGAGAGGAGGCATGACGCATTCTGAACTCTGCCAGAGCTCAGCACAAGCGTCGGGTAAAAATATTAAAATTGAAATTTGCTAAAGGAAATTTAAGTTTATACTGATCGAATTTGGCCAGTGCTCCTCTACAGCAGACTGTAAAAAGAAGACTGATTTGTCTGTTATAAGGGATCAAATGTTTGACTTTTAGTAATGGGACAGGGGCTGTTGCTGCTCATGGCATGTTGGTGGTGATAGTAGCTTTGACTTACAAGACGCAAAAAGAAAGGCAAAAAGGCCTGTACTTAAATAAGTTTAGACTATTTATAAAAAAGTTTAATTAACACCTGACTAAAAGCTCCAGGGCTTGTCTCCTTTTCTTTAGTGTTTTTTTACGCTCAGAGACAAAGAAAGGCTTCAAAACTCTCTGGAAACCAATTTCACACATATGATTACTCATGTGCCACCAGAACGATAGCACCATGAAGATTACGAGGACGTCAGCGAAATGTGGAAACTGGGTGAACCAGGAAACAGCATGAGATAAAACACAAAGGACTGCTGCACATGTCATTTTGGGTAGATTAAATCCAGTATTCTTCTAGTTTCTGTATGGATCATCAGTGATATGATCAGGTGACATCATTATATTATAGTAGTAGCATAAAATATAACAGGATGTATCATTTTCAACATACTTGTCTAGGGTTTTATCTCCAGAATAGAACTGTCATTTGAAAACTGTTGCACTTACAAATGGATGATAATGAGTAAAGTTAAAATAAAGTTTACCAAACAACCCAAACTGACTCAGAAATATAAAGGACATCAAAGTGCGGTGGGTAAAGTTTCACATTTCTGACAATTTGAAAAATGTTTAGGTGGATTTTTCATTTTTAATATAGAAAAAGAAAATCTCTCTTTGCTGTAGATCTTCAAGTTATGACACATTTCCTACAATTTTAATCTTAACTTTACATTTAAAATACTGTAAGCATTCCAGTGAAATATACACCACGTGGTAGCTTTATATTATAAAATATAAAACTAAAACCTGCAAATTTACAGAAAAGAATACAGTGGAGATGACCTCAGTGTCATCAATGCAATGTAGCTATGGCCTTGTGTCGTATATTGACAATAAATGAAACACTGTTACGAACTAGATAGATAGACTAGAAAAATAACTTTCTTTATAATTCTGTGTAATCTACCCTGTCCTCCACTCACCACTGTATACATGCTTTAAATTGTTGCAGAAATGTCTGCAGATGAAAAGAGATTTAGTGCAGTGATGCGTGGCCTGAGGGAGCAGATGACTCCCCGTTACTTTTAGGATGAATTTTCTTCTTCTTCTTTTAAACGAGACACTGTCAAATTGAGATCAAAGCAGTGTTTTTCTCAGATTGCCTGAAACCAGTTTCTGTACCTCTGAAAACTTATAAAACTTGATTTGTTATCATTGACTTCACTGTTGTATGGCACTGGGTTCTTTGTGATACACTTAACATCTGCAATTTCAGCACAACAGGTAATATAAGACAGAAACTAGAGAAGGGAATACACATAATAAACCTGGCCATTCAATCAGCTTTTTCCACTTAGCATTACTCTTCAGTTTTCCAGATGTCACTGACTGTTATAGAGAGCCGACGCCTGCACACTGTCTAGCTAGTCAGCCAATATGTGGTTTAACTTAACAACCCCCTCCAAGATGACGTAACAAAGTAGAATGAATACTACAAAGTCATGTTGCTTCATGGAAGTTGCAGTTGCTAGATGCTAACAAAAGGATCATTGCATTACCATTTAGATACAGTTGAAATACAGGGTAGCTAGGAGAGAGAGCAGTACTTCAAGTCTCTACTAAAGAAAGCTCAGCCCTCAAAAATAATACATTACATGAAGTTCGCACTGAAGAGTTTCTTGTTCTGTACATAGAATTTAAAGTTATTTTTTTCTTGTCAGGAAGGATCCAATGACTACTGCAATCAATTTGAGCAAACGCCTTTTATTTTGGCATCATTGAAAACTACTCCATGAACGGCAGTTTCAGACTGAAGAATGAAGAAAAATGTGAATATTCAGGATGGATGTTAACCCCAGTGCGTAGCCAGAAAAGGAAGTACAGAGCACTCAGCGTAAACACACAGGGATGCATTATATATTGTGATCTGGTTGATATTATTAATCCATCAGCAACATAATCCACTAGGTGATGCCTGATCAGTGTCATCATCGAATCATCTTTAAATTACTTTGACTTTAAAATGTATCCATTATGCACTTATTGATTTCTGCATAATAGTGTAAATAAATTACAGTTATGTCTAACTTTTTTAAAGAAGTGTTAATATGGAATCAATGAAAATGTTCTTTATTCCAATGTCAAAGTAATCATTTACTTTTTAAAAACCCTCTGTATCATTTCCTTCTCTGCTTTTTCTTTTTACTTTTGGTTTCTGTGTTTGCTTCTCTGAGAGTCATTCAACACGTTCTGTGGAGCAGAAGAACAAAACAAAAGCTCATTCATAGTAGCACAAATTTACACACAGCACACTTGGAGAGAATGCAAAGACCTCGGGCCCAACGGAACAACAACAAAACTAAAATAAAGCAGGTTTTGTGTTTGTGGGAAACATCTGAGCTCAGCAGGAGAGACGAGTACAGGAAGGAGAAGGCATAGAACCAAAACCAGCTTGTTCTCCACAGGCAAACATTGTATACATTGCTGTACATGCTAACTCAATGAACATCCTTTAACATTATTTTTTTTGCCCTTTTAGTATAAAAACACATACTGATGTACATTATAAAAAGGTTTTCCTTTTTGCAAAAGAGCAGTGTTTCTCTTTCATCGGCATCTATCATCTGATGTGCACCGACGCGGTTATGTATACATTATTTACATATACAACCGTATAAAAAAATTGTATTTGTCTTGTGTACATGTATTCAAAAAACAAATACATCAGATAGGTTCCATTTTGCTGTGAAATATTTCTGAAAGTTGTTTAATATACAGCGACAGAGAAGCTGAGAGACGGCGAGAAGGTTGGTACACCTGACTCGTGAAAAGGATGTGACACTTCAAACAACATGAGATATAAATAAATGCTATGCGTTACTATGAGTGAGTTAAAGAGTTATCACAAGCTGCTTGGCCAAAAGGTGTAGTTTCTCGTGGGTGTTATGACACAACACCTTTATGCCTTTACAAGTTATTGCATCTTAAAAGGTCAAAATCTTATGTGTTTTGATAATGTTGACTGATGCTTCCATGTGAAAGAACCATAAAGCAGAAGAAGGGCTTGTCAGAAAAACAAAAGAAGTATACATTGTCACTGAATGTTTTGCTGATATGCTCTGTATGAACACTACAACTTTGCAGATATGTTCATTAGAAACAAGTTTGCCGATGAGAATTCTACCCTATGGCCAGAAAAAAAATTAGTCAAATTCAATGCAATTCCCCTTTTTTTAAATGTTTTTAAATGATCTCTTTCTAGAATATCTGTGCATGGTTACAGTGTTATAATAATACTGATAATATGGTTTGAATACAGAAAGGAAGCAGTGCTATGATATTGTATAAAAATACAAGAAATTAAAGAAATGGTCTCACCAACTGGTCTCCACCTAAAACCTGGGAATTCACATGTCACAAACCAACATGCTTTTAATATGTAAAGACATCTAACCTGTTAAGATGAGAAAATAAGAGTGTAAAGATATAATGATCTTGTGTGGTAACATGTTGGTAAAACCAAATGTATTTGGCCAAGTAGATTGCGATAACCAGTGGAAATAAGACCCATCAGTGGCATAATCTGTCTGTTAAACTTCATGTTCATCACTTAAAACATTAATAGAAACACATACATGTTTTCACACAGAATATTTGATCATGAAAAGCAAAGTAACAAGCGCATCACCCCAAACTGGGGAAGCTTAGGTGGTAAATAGAAAAAGAAAAAAATCCCTCATCCTTTTGCAGAGTCAGGTGTTGACAGCAGGGGGCGCTACAGTCAGATGTGGCTGAAGGTCTTTGCATTCACACAGAGGGAGAGCTTTGTAGATGGGATGAAACTGAACTGAAATCGGAGGTCATGTTACTCGTTGATGCCAAAGAAAGTCTGTGTGATGTGCTTCTTCTTGCCACAAGTGCATTGACATAAGGCACAGGCACAGTTCCCCTCTTTCAACAGAGTGGCTCGCATTAGTTAGTTTTTTTTGTCCTTTTTTAAAAATGTCCCAGTGCAAGAAACAAGTAGGGTGACCACCACAGAGGTTCGAGCAGCTCATATTGGACATTTATGACATACAATATGTTCTTTTAAGTGTTACAACAGGATGTTGAGCTGTTTTTGTCATTGTCTTCATTGTCAGGGTGGTAGGAGGGTGATACTGTTTTGGCAGGAGGAGACATGGACGGGATTTATGCAGGCAAAACATGATACTGACAGTCATTATGTGAAATTAAAATAGCTTTCCATTCAGCTTAAAATCAAAAGATTACATCAAATTAAAAAAGGAAATCTCATTAAAAAGAGGAACCATCTGACAGACCAGTGGTTGAGGTTTGTCTGCAGCACTTGTGCCATGTGCACGTCATATCAAATGTTAAAAGTTAGGGGAGTTAATTTAAACAGTTGTTGAATTTTTTCTCCCAGTTGGGTGAATGTGATAGGAAGTGAACATGGCATAAGTCATAGTTTGTCACGATAGGTTTTGGACAGATTGTACCAAAGATCAAATAGGCTGAATATTTTGCTTGCTAATTTCCTGACACACAACTTTGCTGGAATGTCAATTGAGAGCCTCAAAAGAAGAAAGATTTTGTCTGTTTTTTTTAACTAGCTTTAGCCCAATCATTTTAAAGATTTCCCACTGTCACTCTTAGCATCAAGTTTTTTCTTTTTTCTTTTCACAAAACCAGCATGTTGTTGACGCATTGCCACATAGGCACACACACAGCACTGCCTATACACATAACACATACACATCTGCATCTGGTATGTGTTCTGACTGAAATGGCTGCTCTCAATATGTTTACCTTTTGTACTATCCAAATCCCATGGATGTTTTAAGAGAGCTGGACAGACACTGCCAGTCAGCCTTGCTGCCTGTTTATTCCAATGGCCACTTGTGGTATTGCAAGTAAAACCATTAGGCATCTGTAAAACTTTTAATAGGATGTCTTAAACTGCAAACAAGGTCAGGTACTACGCTGCATTATCAATTTCAGTCCATGAAGGTGTTATATTTGTAAAACTTTCCAAGACACTAGAAAAGCGTGCCATCATCTCAATGTTAAGTCTATGGGCTGAGCGAACCTGTAAACTAGAAAGCTTTTTTGGCTTGTGTGTTGGCCAAGCAATTTTCATTCATTAACGTGAATGGGTGCCATTTTGAAGTCTGGTATCCAGTTCTTAAAACACATCCATGTCAGGGCCTCATATTCATTATTTTATTTCCTGATACAATTCATATGAGGAATAGTTGTAATTAAGTGCTTTAAGTATGCCTATGGAGCTTTAAAATGCTTTATGAGCAGCAGGAAAAGTAGAAATCCTTTCATTATCACAGCTGTGCTAACAATCGGAGAAAGAAAAAGAAAAGATGAGGAAAAAGGAGAACAACGGCAGGGAGAGGGAGTCGGTGGGGCCTTTTGCCATGGGTGATCACCCTAGTGATTCTGGTACTGAAATGCTCTTGAGGGAGACAGGAAACAGATCAGTGTCTCTTCTAGTACATCTCTGAAGATTTTCCTCTCAGTTTCTACCAGGAGGCTCCTACGAGCAAAGAGTGAGAGTGTGTGTACACCATCTTAAAATATCTAGACTGTGTGAATGCATGTCTGTAAGTTGGTGTGTATGTGTCTGTATGTGTGTATGCTATTAATAAATAGCAGTGTCATGTCATGACTGTTAGGGTCAGACCAATATATTACCAATACTGTCCTTTTATTAAATATCAGTGTATCAGCCAGTCAGTGTCCTCCAATATCCATAATATGATTAATGTGAAGGTTCCTTTCTGATCTCAGTTATGTTAAAAAGTTGTTAAAACCCGCAATGCAACACATTTTCCTTTTTCCTTTATTCTTGTAATTCAGTTTTAAAGCCTAATAACTTCAGCTGTACTGTATGTATAAAGAGCTAATAGAGATGTGAATGACACGCACTGGAGAGTTTTAGTCACCTATAATTCTCTAAATGCTGTTTTCAAAGGCTTTTACTCTCTGAAACATATAAAATTAAAGGAGAAAATATTTTTTAGCATTGAAATATTGGCAAAAATATCAGCTGTCATCAGCTTCAATCCAAAATTTTTAGTATTGGCCTGTTAAAACATATCGGTTGAGCCTAAATATCAGTCATCAGTGTCTGTGATTGTAAAGTGTATACATCAGTGTGTCTGTATAGGTACAGTATCTATGATTGTTTATATTTCCATCAGCTCTGGCAGTCTTTGTATGTAGTGTTTGCTGTGAATCAGTCCTATAGGCAGGCGAAATGTGTACATCTGTCTGTTTTTGCCCGTCTTTCTTTCAGGGTATCTGTGTATTTATTTATACTTGTATGAATCAGTCCTAGAGGCAGACGTTGTTGCTGATCTGGCAGGTGGATCCGGGGCCGGCCTGGGACAAGAAAAGCCTCCCGTTGGGGCAAACGCAAACCTCGTAGACAGTCTGCCTGGTCCCAGAGGACGAGGAGCTGGTGGAGGCCTTCCCCTCAGGCAGCCGCATCAGGCGAATCCTCCGAGCATCCAGAGATATCTGGGGTAGAAGAGAAAAAACTGGTGAGTTTGGAAAAAGGGGGAAACAGAATAACATAATACAAGTTCCAGTTTGAGGTTGTTAAAGAAATATTCTTGACATTTTTGGTCGCCTGCGCCAGACTGAACATTTTAGAGGCGTTACGGTTGTATACAGAGTGGAATTGAATAAATGTGGATTTTCTCTCAGCGGAAATAATTGAAAATGTTCTTTTGTATCTTGTCTTCATGCCTTTTTTGTATTTCCCTGTGGCTGAAACGTACTATACATCTAAATGTTAAAGATTAAACACAATATATTAGCTCTACTGACTACTCTCTACTCTACTGACAGGAGCAAAATATTCAGTTTTCTACAATTACTCCACTAACATGGGTTTTGAATATAAAATGTAGTTACATTTCCCTTCATGTTACTAGTAAGGGTTACGTTGCAGCAACCAAGATACATTTTGACTCAATGTTTTCTTTACCCCCCAGCCAACACATCTTGAAGTCAAGTTACATAGACATGTTACCCACTTGCTGTGCAAAAGATAAATCTAAGTTAAGTAGAGTTTCTTGTTTGCTGATTGTGAATTAAGGCGCTTGTACTAAGGCCAGCTGGACAGGGTTCTTCTGTCGATGGTCAGGATGTGTCTGGCAAAAGACCAGCCACAGCTTAACTCATTCAATCTCCTTAAAATCACTCCTCAATAAACGTCAGCATCTGCATGTCATGCATGCAAGTGTTCACATTACAACTCCACATACTGTACATTGTGATTGTCCTCCATATAGCCGTGATTGGTGCTCTTCATTCAGACCAGAAAATGCACAAAAACTCTTCTTTTCCCCTTTCATCTTTACCTCAGATAACCCCCGCTGAATCATGTGTCTCTTCTCGTCTCCGCACTCTAATTGCTCTCAGAGCAAATCTCTTCACCTGCCCTCCTTAGCTTGGCTTTTATTTTTCTACCTAGATCTTCTACTTCACAGTATTGGACTCGCACAAATAGTGACTGTGGCTCTTAACACCTGTGCTCCACATTGTCTGTTGCATAGAATGTTAAGTGGTCTAGATATTGAAAGTCACACTCAATGTCAGAATTTAACCAATTTCTCTGATATAAGATATTGTGTATTTCCATTCATACTTTCAGTGTATTCCAGCTCCCTTAGACATTCTGGGGCGAATTCATAAAGAATGGATTCCGGGTAGTGAGAGTACCATGAATTGCACATCACTTGCAAACGCTATCTGCCCCATCTCAATGTCCAGTTCACAAAAGACATATGGCTATAAAGTGTTTCAGCTAAATGAAATTTGCCAAATTTGTGGAATTTTCTGTAGTGGTCCTAGTAATATTTGTTCTTAAGGTACACTGAAGCAGATCACATTATCTGGTTAAGCTACGTTTGAGTCAAAAAATGTTATAAATACAGTTTTAAGAACAATACTTTCCACTCATGTTTTAAGATGTTTGATTTTAAATATATCTTATTCTAGTGATATATTAACTCCTGCTCTTTCATTTGTTTCTGTCTGTTGGATGTCTCTTGTTTTTCTATGACTCATTCTTTATGGAGTGTTTTCTCAGATTGATTGTTATTTGGGGTGCTTTGACTCTGCCTCATTCCTTTGGGCGCGTGGAGAGCTGTTTTCTCTCCAGTGTGTAACCACTGCCTAACAATTGTCTCCATTTCTCACAGCAGTAGGCTTTATTCTGCTATTCATGGTGACTATCAGGTATTGTAGTGTCTGTGCCATCTGTGTGCATATGATGTACTGTGGTGCGCTGTTGCCTCGCCTGGCTACAATCTACTGCCATGATCACTGGAAAGTCTGCCTGTGACATAATAAATGCACTTCAGTTACCACCAGCTCTCTGAGGAAGCAAATCATTTCACTCTAATTGCATGTGGCTATTTGCGTTGGTGTTTGTGAATTGGACTTTTTGCAATGAGGCTCATTTGCATCGAAAGGGACCAATTTTCTGCCTAATGTATGGATGGTCCGTAATTTACATACGTGCAGAAAGTACTGCAGCACCGAGACGCAATTTACTTAGAAGCGCAGTTAGAGGTGCACTCCACCCTTTGCGGGTGCTTTGTGACCAACACGTCTCATTTGTTCAGGTTTAGTGGCCGTAAAAGCTGTGCAATCCTCTTATGAATTTGCCCCTCAATGCACAGTGTCAATATATGTGTAAGTGCAGTGAATGATAAAGGTCATGTGTTGGATTTGAAGCTCAAAGTGAAGAAGAAAGAACATTAATGCATTGCAAACTAATATCCATGGTAAAAGTCACCCAGAAATGCATCTGGCATAATTTCTTTTGCAAATCTCAAACAGACTGAGGCAGCGGTAGCCCACAGGATAGTAAACCTAAAGGTCAGTTTGAATCCCGTAAGCAGGAGACTAGATATAGGTGAAAGGTAAAAGTAAGTCTCTCAAAGCTCGGTAAAGCCAGAATATATTGCACAAACACACTTTTCACTAAGAGATTTATGTCACTAGAAACCAGCTGAAGTACCAGACTGATCAGCAAATTACTCCTCCTACTGTAAATGTCATCAAGAACCCTTAAAAACCTAGGTATGTATGTATTGTACGTTAAAAAAAGTTCAAAAGTACAAAAATTAAACATAATATTGCAACTGTATGGCTAGATTCTAACTCCAAGTTTTGTTAGTTAAATCTGAGAGGAACATTAAGGTGATGATTGGGTTTTTCATTTTGGAAAATCAGATGTAAAGAGCAATGAGAGACCAGCTGTTAAGTGTTGAGTTGCTGAGTGATGGACAGAACTGTGAATCGTCTATTGTTGAGCCTACTTTAAATGTCTCAAATCTTCAAAAGGCTGGTGTTAACTGAAATTACCTCCCTTCTTCACAGTTAGCATAATTATGTTCAGGTGACTTTTGAAGAATGGTTAGTTCCACTGTGCCACGATTTCTGCAAAAACGTTTTCAAGTGCCCTTCAGATGTGGTATCAGATTGTCTTTTTAAACAGTTTTAAACATTTTACCTGCTATCGTATGATCAAATGGCGTTTACTGTCCATACTGATATGTGGAATTTGAGTAGCCATGCCTCTAAAGGCCAGAGCATTAATTGACATATGACCAAAAGAAAGATTCACAGAAATGTCTTTAAGACATGTTATGTTTTTGAGAATCTAAAAGCCCTGTCCAGCTAAAAAGCAAAAAAGCTCAGAAAAGTTTACCCTCTGCTGACTTAAAGGTCATTCCTCTATCTGAGGAACAAAAAGAGAGCACAACTCCAGAAAATTCCTTCTGCCACCCCACCACAAATGCCCACACACAACCACTCATCCACTCATTTTACTCCCTTCAGCCCCACATTGATTGGAACAAACTATCTTTCTCCCTCTGCACAGACACAAACCACTGCTGCATGAATCCCATCTCTCTGCCCTCTCCTCCCCTCCTCCCTCCTCCCTCCCGCCCTCCTGGGGCTCCTACAGAGCTGATGTTTCACTGGCCGAGGAGAGGAGGAGCTCTCCAGCCATAAAAAGGTAAAGGAGCCATTACCAGGCACCTCGGGGAGGCATCGCAATCAAATGACCTGGAACACTTTTAAAGCAGAGTCTCAGTTGACTTCCTCAGACAGCTGCTGTTGAACAAATCTTTCACCACGAGGGGCAGACAGTGTGAAACACTGAGAGGACCTGTGTGTAAGTGTGTGTGTGTGTGTGTGTGTGAGATTGGATTATCTTCATGTGTGTGTAAAGCTGAGAGTGTGAGTGGACACTAGTGAAGGACAAGCAAGTAAAGATAAGACTTACTGTTTTAAGTCTTTACAGATTTTCACTGACAAATATATATCGATAGTTCCGACAGATTTTTTGATTTTTACAGGTTTTCATTTAGTTTTCTTTTTTATTTGATTTTATGTCCCCAAACATCCCAAAAATGTGTTTTGATCACTGCTGCCACAAAAAGAAAAAGCTCCCTCTTTTGGTGGTTATTACTGTAAAATTGTGTATGTATACTACAGTGTTTGTGCTGCAAATGGTAAAAATAATAATAATACATTTTTGGGGGGGGATTTTGGTATTTAAAAACAATTTCCATCCATTTTCAATCTTCAAAATAAACTGAGAAATATAGATAATGAGATAGAAATATATACATCGAAGGCTCTCTACCCACAATAAGTGGCAGAATGGCATGAGCCAGTGATTTCTTAAAGAGATGCTCATCTTTTATCTGACCAACAGCTGTTGATCTGCCCCCTAGTAGTCGACTTACCCAAGAGAGGAATCTTAGTCACTTTTCATCAATCAGGTAGTCACAGAAAAACCAAAATAACATTGAACTATTATCAGGGGGTTGCTGCAACATGGACCTTTTCCCTTGTAACACAGGAAGTCATTAAGTGGTGCACTGTTGTATGCATGGATGTTTAAACGGCATGAATTGTGTTGACTATTGGCTGTTTCCTATTGACTACTAGTCGACTAGGAAAATCTTTAGTCGGGGACATCCATGATCTAATCTGAAAGCGTCCTGTAATTAACAAAAAATTCTAAATCTCGATTTTTGTTTCACTCCCAATAGAAAAGGTTTTACACACCCAAACCACACCCAACACAGACGGTCTATGCCAGGCTTGTCGTTTGCTCTTACAAAATTGGCCTCCTACATGGCACACATTGGTGATGTAAGCCTACACTCCACTCTGCCTCTGCATCATACTCTGAGCAGAACCTGGAATGTATCAGTGTAGCTAATGCAATGTCCACACAATGTCTGCGTAGTGAGAGCAGCACATTAGTAGAGCAGCAGTTTCAGTGGTTCTCTGTTGTGACCACACTCAGCTGTGATGTAACATGCTACTATAGTGCATTACTCTAAGTACATTACTGCTGCACACAGTGTGGAAAAAGCATGTTGTCACCACCAGTCGGCAGGCCAAGCCAGATCATTAGACTGGGAGAAGTTACTCTTCAAGAAAACGTGAATGTGTAATCTAGAGTCAGTTATGTGTCTATGAGTGGCTTCAGTAATCCACAGTGTTTCATGTGTGAGTGTGTGTGTGAGTCTATTTCTGTATCTGCCTATGTGGTTTGTGGGTGTCTAATGACCAAAACCACGCTGTAATTGCTCTGGCGGTGCCAAGGGGGTCCTAAAGAGGGAGAGTGTCTGTGTGTGTGTAAGACAAAGGTTTGACAAATGCACATTTGCAACACTAATGGAGTGTGAGAACGTGAGTCTAATTATATGAATTGACCATCAAGGAGTTCAACAGCCTCATTCTCGACCACACATCCATGACAGCTGCAAGAAGATGTGGTGTGGGTGTGGCTTAAGACTGCTACTGTGGTTAATTTGGACCGAATTGAATCCAAGGGCACCTTCCTGAAACAGTTTTTCTCTCCTTGTCCATCTCATATCAGCAGCCCGTCTTAATGTATGAATCTGTTTTTGTGGGAAACTTTTAAACACTTTCTTCTCTCTAATCCCCTTCTGCTGATTTAACAGATCTGACATGACACGACTGGTGCAACCTAAGGTGGGAAATCCTTTTATCAGCGCAGCCGACCATGATGAATGTGAGTACTGATGTGTGTAGCGAATCGGGGATGGTTGGAGGAATTTAGGAGCAGAGAGGAAGGGATGAAAGAAGGAAAGAAGCAGCATGAGGATGAGGAGAGGATGAGTGAACAGGAAAAAAAGACGGTAAATAAGCAAAGTTAAAGACAGAAAGAGGACAGAGGAAGGAGGAGGAAGAAAGGAAAGGGCAGAAAATTGTGAAGGAAGAAAATATGAATGCAAAAGAGAAAGGTGTTAAAGTAAGCATGTCAAAGACTCAAAAAGAACTGAATTAGTGACTGAAGGGAGGATGGGAGAGAAAGACAAACAATCAACTTCTGTCCTCTATTTTCCAGCTTTTCTGTGAGGCTCTAACAGATTCTGGTGGATGGCCAGAATGTGGGAAATTGCCACCAGCCAATAAGCATAATGCCGGTCCATGTTGGCTGAGGGAGCTAACTATTGTTTGGACTGTTTGCTTAAAATAAGTTTGGACAGGAGAAATATTGAATTGAGATGGAGCCCCATCAGCCAGCATGGCCAGAGGACAAGAAAAGTTAATTTCTCAACTTGCCAGTACACAGTGGGAGGTTTTATGTTTCTGCAAAAAGCACGTTTGAAGTAACAGGACTGCAAAGACAATTAGTTCATTCTCTGGAGAAATCAAGCTGTTTTAGCTGCTCCTTTGTTGTCAAATAAAGAACCGAATTAAGTATTCAAAAACAATGTAAGCTATAATTCAATTTATTTAAAACCAGTGGCATTAAATTCTCATAATTTGAAGTAATGATTAAATCCTTGAAAATCTTACTGTTCTGTATATAAAGGACAAGACAGACACTTTTCATAGCGGACATTTTGACTTGTAAAAGCAAAGGAGTTACAAATTATATTAACTCTGTTCAATTCAGTGAGCCAGAATGCACAATACTAGGGCCCAGAAACTGAAGTAGCTAAATGGAATTCAGCAATCATTAATTGTATTATTTCAGACCTGTGCTTTACTACTCTGACATGTTAAAATGTCTTGAATGTCCCTAATTGAAGTGTATTAGTGAGTTTTAGAGAATATTGTTGAAAAATGTGTGACTTATTTTGGAGTGAACGTCTTTAAATGTCACTTTGTTCCAAAAAAGGATTCACAATTTGAAAAAAAATCACATCAGTTTTTACAGTGATTGACAATGATTGATAAGATGGTAAGCGGTAATTAATGATGATAGAAACAGAATCCACTTTTTTTTAGATGTGATTGCACCCAAAATGTCAGTAATAATACTGCACAGAAAAACAGTGTGTGCAGGACTACAGTAAGTATGGTAGGTCACAGTTGAAGCAGGAAGTTGGACTGTGACTGTCATGGACGTTTATAGTTTGGGTAATAACTTAACAGTTTGCCTTTACTTTGTATTCCTAATACATTAACGCTAACCTCGGGCTGTGTACCCAAACTGTCTAAACAAATTGACATATTTTGTGACACATCATAATTGTTTTAGTAATGTCCCAGTGTTGTCAAATCTTAGTAATTCACATTACATAACAACACCAAAACTATGAAAATAAGACGAAAGTTGCAATAAACTGCATTTTCTTGATTTGCAGACAACAGACAAAATGCTTATTAGCAATGTTGACACACCTCTCCGTCTTTGGACTCCAGTCTCAGCTCATTCCTGCAGATGGCCTGGATGTCCCCAGCCTCAGCCAGGATCTGGATGCCTTTAGGAGCCTCCATCAGTAGAGAACGAGTGGGAGACTCCAGTCTGGGAAAAGACAAAGGCAGAGCTGCTCTGTTAGTGGGAAATATTTCTACTTAATGTCTGGATGATAACGAAAATAAATTCTTAAAACAAAAGGTAGGAAACAAGATACGAAAGAAGTTTAAGACGTGTTGTTTTCTATGTTATGATCATCAGTAGAAAGTTTTTTCTTTTTTCCATTTTTTAATTTAAGTTTTCAAAGAAGCTAATTAGAATCTAACAAGGTCGTGTAAACAAAAGTCACGATTCCGAAGCAGCCTGTTTATTAGACTGTTTTAGCATTCTGTCATAACAGAGATTTTTATCACTTTCACCAATATAAAGACTCTTCAAGTAATGAGAACCTCCATGATTGTTTTTCACTAATAACTGAATGGTTATGTTTAAGGATATGAATAGACACAGTAATGTAAGATTTCAGGTAAGATACCAAGAACCTGTTTATGCCTGGTATCAACATGCATCTTGGGTGATCTGATCATAAGTGGACAGTTCCAAATACAAGTGTAAACAACCGCTGAGACGCATTGTGATCCAATCACTCAAACCACTTGCAGAGGTGGTCTGGGACACAGTTGACCATGTATCTTTTGTGGTGTAAACGCTAATGCATCCTGGGCCGCAGAGAATGACTGCCTACTGACATCATGTTAGTACACACAGAACTAGCTGTCTATTCGGTTCACTATAATGCAAATTACATGCTCGGGCTCTTTTCCCTGTCACGATAAGTAGTGAACACAGTGTCTGTTTCAATCGATTTGACCACTGAACTACTAACTGCAATAGCTCTACGCTCCCTTAAAAAAAAAATCACACAATATTGAGAGTTACTGAGTGAGAAGAAACTTCATAAACTTTGTGAAACACTACGACAGATTGGTAATTATTTGGGCCTTCTTGTAAATTTGTGTTGCAAGAAGAACAAGAACATTACACATTAAGTTATTTCTTATTTAGTTTTTTGTGTTCACTAGAAGGCGGTGCAATATCCTCTACTGCCGTCCACTGTTAGTGGCAGGAGAGACACTTTGTGGTGGGAGCAGGATGCACAGTTTCACTTTCTCTGGCATTAATGCCTTTCTTCAGCATTTGTGATGTGAAAACATTAGATTTCCACACAGTCGAAACAGCTAAACGCACTAGCATCTCTCCTGCAGGGCTGCTAATAGCCACAAGTGGTCATTCGAGATTCTTCTAGATTCTCTCGAGATTCTCATGCCAGGTGTAAACTGGCGTACTTAAAGCTGTCCACCTGTTATCAGATCACCCAAGACGCATGTTAATACCAGGTGTAAACAGGCTCATAGTTATGATCAGTGATCACCTAAACAGAAATCTGATATATATTTTCCAGTTCCATTAGAAATCAACAAATGTTTTAAACAATTCACAATGGATATTGAATTATGGGATGTTGAATAGCCTGGTTCCAAACCTCTGAACCACTGCCACCATCTCAGCTTTGTTCTCTGATTCAAATGTGTCTGGTGCTGTGCCAATTTTGCCAAGCAGCTATTTTGGATGGTTGGGGAAACAATCCACCAGTCAGAGCTTCATTGGCAGCATTATACTAAAATAAACCTAGCTATCTAGGTACATCTGTGAAAAATAGAAACAAGAAAACAAGAAAAGGCACAAAAATGCATTCTATTTCTACTGACAAAATCCATTCTCTAACCCCAAATCCTAACTTGGAGCCAAATATTTCTAGCCTTCACCTCAAAAAGAGTCTTAACTTTTAATTCCCTTTGAAGGGCTTAGGTTTATGTCTTTTGGTTTATTTCACCTAGGGTTAGTCAGCACTTGTTGTTTTGGCCTTGGTTCACCCTGAATTATATTGCTTAAGTTTATTGTCACAATTTCACCTCAATTGCAATTCAGTAATCAGACTTTGCTTTCAGGTTATTGAGGTAACAGCTTTTTAACTTTTATAGTAGCGCTCCAACCATCCTAGATGGGCCCCGGTCTTACAGTCTTAAAAAATTGCTCCTTAAATAAATTGACATACAAGAACTCACACACACTTCAATAACTACCATGAATGGAGTATAAATTGAGTGAATGTGACACTCGAACAATACAGCCCACCTGCATGCTGTGGCTGCTTACAAATTTCTGTATGAGGACTAAAAATCAGCCCACTCCTCTTCACATCTTGACAAAACCACTCAGAGCCACGAGCCGATCTTTACAGGAAGCAGCAAAGGTGTCAAAATGCTTCAGTAGACTCAGACCTGCAGAGGAGGTCTCTGTAGAATTCCTGTCTTCCTGTCACCATGGTGGTTATGGATAAAATATGTGATATTTCATCCACAGGGAAGGTTTTCATTGATATCACACACACTTTATTCAGCTGGAGGATTGTGGGCTTTTGTTCTGAACAAGCGGTGCCTAACAAAGGTTCTGTTTATATGCACAGATACATGATGGGAATCATAAGATGGTATTGTATGTACGTATATGTGTCATATCTTCATTTTGAGTATTCTGTTGATTTTAGTTTATTTATTGCAACAGGGATTCTCAGTAAAGATAGAAAGTTGAAATAAAAATTCATCAGTGGAGGCATCTCTGCAGTTTTCTGTTACTTCATCGTTTGTTGGTACCATGGTTGGATTACCAAACAGGCCTTCCAGCCAAGGGACCCTCATGTCAGAACCTCAATAATCTTCCTTGGAAAAGCAAAGAGCTGAATCATATGGAATTGCAAAGTTGGATGAGCATGTAGAAGATGTGGGTTGTGGGAGTATTTTTCATTACTGCAAATTCCCATTTCAAAGTTTTCTTTGATATCTTCAATATACATCAATATAGAAACACAGGAGTCTTCTACATAATGTAACAATTTGCATAGGTTCATGGTGGTCTCAGCTTGCTTTCAGTCCAACCCTGTAGCAGTTTGTTTGGGGTGTGAAAACAAATGGACCAACCACCAGTAGTGATGATACATGTCATTTTAGTAAGTAATAAATCCATGTTCTCATCATGAAATCTGTTGAGAAAGGGATCTTGTAGTTGTTCTGTATAAGGCATGTATATATTTATGCAAATAATTTGGTGACCATTGTAACATATATGCGCATCAAAGTTGGTATTTTCCCAGTTTAGGTGAAATGCTAAACTGATGGTTTGATTTCGATCTAAAAAATGTTTATGAAAAAGGCAAAAAATACCTTTAACATGGTCTTTTGTCTAATTATCTGTTGGTTGGCGCAAAGTGACATACTATTTTCATTAATTTTGATGTTGTGATTTGGCATCGACATTTTTAAACATTATTTTAATGTGAGTTATTTTTAATAATACACAATAGTTGTTGTACAAAATGTAATGGTTTATCCACAACACCTCAATTCTAGTTACATCTTCCAGTTCTTTGCTTCTGGTGCTAAGATGCTAAGAACAAGACAACATTTTTCCTTTACAATACTGATCTCCAAACAGAACACATTTTTTTCTTTAAAAAATTTAAAAGGAAAGAGCTGCAGTACAGTAGTGCTAGTTGCATGTACAGTAATTGCTAAAAGAAGAAGTGAAGAAGAAAAAAAACTAAAACAACATTATTTGTTAGGATCCTCTAGGTTTGAGTTCAAACTCGGGTTATCTCTATTGCCAGAATGGAGAATTATAGTGTTTTTTATGCCAAGGCACCATGAAGCTATTTGGATGTCAACACCAAACAATTAATACATGCTACTTCATGGTATATAAGACGAGGGAGAAAATTGAAGGAAAAGAGAGGAGTTTGTAACCATCCTCCTGCACTCAATTTCCTCACTGCAAGCCAAAAGCCGTATTGTCTTTTTTTGTCTTACTGTCCACACAATTACGATCAAGCATAAGTATATTGTCCTCTCATACTGCCATCAAATAATACATTAATTAATAAAGGCAGTTAATGTGTAGTACAAACAGAAGACATATATAAAAAAACAACTCCTCCTCAAACTAGACACAATTCCACAAGTCCCCAAAAATGTTTAGAATTCAAGACCAGTTGAACAGATTCGAGAGTATATAGTCTGTTGTGTTACAGCGCTAGAAATATATAACTACTGTAAAGTATGGTGTATAGTGAAAACTGTGCAGTGGATTCAGTAGTTATAATAATGGTGATGGTCTGACTGATTCAAAGCTATTCTTTCAAAGGGCCCTCAGAGAGGGACTTAAGTTTTTCAAACCTTGGTTCAATTAAATGAAGTATATCATAATTACGAACAATATTCAGTTATAGCCTATTCATTTGTGGGTTATTTATATGGATGTAGTGCTTAAGTAGGATACAGGACGGGAGGGAAGTGATGGCAGCCGAAAGCTGATGAACATAACAAATCTCCTTTGCGTTATCCCTTTCTCTCTGCCCACAGGGGGTTAAGCCTGAACACTTATTAACTACAGTGTGTGTAATATGGTGATTAATTAAATACATATCATCTAATGCCTCATCATTGCAGTTTGATTTTCAACATTGTGTTCAGTTTTTATGATACGACTATTTAAAACAAGCTCTCAATTAAATTGGATTAATTTGCAACAGTTTTTCAAGCATCTTGCCTCCTCCACTCCAAAAATATCAGACCAATCTCTCACTCTATCCGCCTGCTTCTGTTTGTTTCTCTATTTTTTGCCTGCATCAACAGTGCTGACACAACCTATTAGTATTCTCGCTAACCAATGCCACCAGAGGGCAAATAAAAACAGATTACAGTCAACAGACTTGTATCTGGACATTAAGTGAACATAGACGAGGCTTTAATCTTGTGCTTTGCAAAACAAGAGAGTCAAAATTGATCCCGTGGAGGTCATGGTGAGAATACTGAAAGGCTTCAGACCTTAGAAAAGCTCTGAATTTGAGGGTTGGAGAACTCACACATTCTGGCTTTAAGTGGAAGTTGATGCTGGAGTACAGTGGTTGGCATCCCGACCCCCTGAACTTCAACAACTTTGGTGGCAATCAGAGGCCGTGGAAACAGAGTGCTCCACATGAGTGCCCAAGAATG